GACAGAAAGACCATGAAAATGTTAGTACAAGCTATCTCAGGTTAATGGAAACAGGGAGACTCTTCTTTATAGGATTACTTATTTTTAAATTCTCTATTATAATCAACTTATAATCCAAAAAGCAATTCCATATTCATTTATGAAATAAAATTTCAAAAGGAAAGAAAATCTGAGCAAATGAGGAACTGGAGTTCTTCCTCTATCTGTTCAGAAAAAAAAAAAAGTATCTGCAGAAAATATACAGCTGACAACACAGTAGCAAATCATGCCTTCTCTGCTGAGATGACTACCAGGACAAGGACGTCCGTTCTTACTTGTCCTATTCCATGTAACTAGAGGTCCTAGCCAACACAATGAGACAAGCAAGCAAGCAAAGGCAAACAGATGGGAAAATCTGACTTAGTGTCTATATGACTTGGTCCATGCAGAAAATGCCAGTTAGTCTTCAAAAACTGCTAGTTTCAGATTCAATATTTACATATACACTGATTTATTTATGGAAACAACTGGAAATTGAGGTGTTTTAAAAGATTTCATTTATAATGGCACCAAATAACATGAAGCAATTACATACAAACCTAAGTGCAAAATTTTTATTAAAACTTAAAAAAAAGATAAATCAGACTTAAACGAAACAGGTATTTTATTAATTAATTAAAAAACAACAGCTAAGATGTCAATCATCCCAAATTAATACATAATTGCAAAGCAGTATAAATCATCCCACGAAGCTTTTCTATAGAAAGAGATATGCTGGTTCTAAAAACGGCATGGAAAAGGAAGGAGCTGAAACAATCTAAAAGACAACACAAGTTGGAGGACCCCGATTACGGATTTCAAGACACACTAGGGGGCGGGTGCTGAGGCAAAGCGGGTAAAGCTGCCACTTGCAATGCCGGCATCCCACATGGGCACCGGTTCGAGACCCAGCTGCTCCACTTCCAACCCAGCTCTTTGCTATGGCCTGGGAAAGCAGAAGAAGATGGCCCAAGTCCTTGGGCCCATGCACCTGTGTGAGAGACCCACAAGAAGCTCCTGGTTTCCAGTTTCGGATGGGCATAGCTCTGACCATTGCAGGCAACTGGGGGGTGAACCAGCAGATGCAACACCTCTCTTTATCTCTGCCTCTCCTTATCTGTGTAACTCTGACTTCCAAATAAATAAATAAATCCTTAAAAAAAAGACACACTAGATGCTACAGTAACAAAGACTGTGTGATTCTGGCCACAGGAGACATACACAAAAGCTGGAACAGAGGATCTAGAAATAGAGTCACACATGCATAATTGATTTTTGGCAAAAGTGCCAAAAAAATTCACAAAGGAAAACAGCAAAAACTGTCTTTTCAGGCCAGCACTGTGCACAGCAGGTAAAGCCACTGCCTGCAGTGCTGGCTGGCATCTATATGGGTGCCAGTTCAAGTCCCAGCTGTTCTACTTCCAATGGGCCCAGCTCCAGCCGTTGCAGCCATTTGGGGAGTGAACCAGCGGATGGAAGACCTCTCTCTCTCTCTCTCTCTCTCTCTGTCTCTGCTTCTAACTCTGCCTTTCAAACAAATAAGAAATGAATACATCTTAAAAGAAAAAGTAATTGTCTTTTCAACAAGTATAAGGAGAAGTTGGCATCCATATTAGGAAGCAAGGGCAGAGCTGGGGAGAGAAACTTCATCCACTCCACGCGGTATAAAAAGTTAACTCAAAATGATCACAGACCTAAATAAAAAATCCATAACAATACGAAAGTTATAGACGAAAACAGAACAAATAACCTTCGCAATGTTGAGTTGGGCTACAGAATTTTTTGGGACACAAAGCACAAGTTATAAAACAAAAAACTGATAAACTGGACTTCCTCGGAACTGAAAACTTGGACTCTTAGGAAGACTGTTTTGAAAAATGAAGACAAACCACAAACTCAAAGACAGTATTTGTGAACATGTATAGATAAAAGATTTGTATCCAGACTGTATAAAACTCTTACAACTTAATATTTAAAAATTACAAAATGGATAAAAGATGTGAATAGGCACTTCAACAAAGAGGAGTCACAGATGGCAAATGACAGCACAGGAAGAGATTTCAACACATTAGTCAACAGAAACATTCAAACTGAAACGGAGATGACTTATCTATAATTATCTATTAGAACAGCTAATAATATAAATAAAATGACAAGTGCTGACCAAAATGCCGCATAACTGCAACCATTAAACACCATTAGTGGGACTGCAAAATGAAAACAGCTACCTTAAACAAGAGTTTGGTTCTTACAAAATTGAACATGCACTTGCCGCTTCTACTCCTAGGTAGTTAACCAAGAGAAAGGAGTAGGTCTACACAAACACTTGTGCACCAATGTACAAAGAACTGCACACGAATGAGTACAGCAGCTTCATTCCTACATGCAAGACACCGGAAACAAACTAAATGTCCGCCAATTAGCAAACAGATAAAAATACTATCAAATTTTCACAATAAAACACTACTTGGCAATAAAAACGAACATCACACTGGTATGTGCATCAACGAGTGACAAAAGCGTTCAGTGAAGAAATCAGCCAACAACAGGCTACAACATACTGTATGGCTCCAAGCACAGGACATTCCAGAAAAGGCAAAGCTACAGGGACACACAAGGGACCAGAGATTGTCAGCACCTATCGGTGAGGGTAGAGAGAGGGAACTTTCGGGAATGATGGGAAAGTATTTTTGTCTAGAAGGTGGTGGTCATGATTGTATGACCACATGCACATGTTAGAGTTTATGTGACAATACATTAACAATCTATGTGTTGGGGCCGGCGCTGTGGCATATCAGGTAAAGCCACCGCCTGCAGTGCTGGCATCCCATATGGGCACCATTTTGAGACCCGGCTGTTCCACTTCCAATCTAGCTCTCTGCTATGGCCTGGGAAAGCAGTAGAGGATGGCCCAAGTCCTTGGGCCCCTGTATGCGCGTGGGAGAACTGGAAGAAGCTCCTGGCTCCTGGCTTTGGATCAGCACAGCTCCAGCTGATGTGGCCATCTGGGGCAGTGAACCAGCAGATGGAAGACCTCTCTCTCCCTCCTCTGCGTCTGTGTAACTCTTTCAAGTAAATAAATAAATCTTTAAAAAAAAAAAAAAGAATCTATGTGTTGTAAGCTATATGTTAATTAGCCTAAATATTAAAACAAACAATATATGTGCTTCTGAAAAACATAAATCCTTGTAAATGAGCTAGATCCAGTTTACCAGGTACAGTATTGAGGGAGGAACAGCAGCAAGACCAAAAATCAGTAAAGTACTATAAACCTAAGAATTATCATTGGTAAGTAAGAGGAAATACACACATTGGTAAAAAGTTTCCTTAATGAGATCTGTCAGTGTCTGCACAGAAAATTGAAAATTTTGATGAGCTTTAAGGAAAAATGAAAAGTCACGAGGAACAGGCTGAACAGGCAGCACTGGGATTACAAGCTTACCAAAACACTCCCTGGGGTTCTACCAAATGGAAACCAACACATGAGCCCCAGTCCATTCTCATGTGGAATTCCACTTCCAAGACAAGACACCAAGTCTTCTTTACCCATAATGATTCCCTGTACTTTACAACTCTTTAAGACAGGACACAAGATAGCTCTCGGTAGGCAAATCCATTTAAGCGCCAGACAAGCTGTTAGCCATCTTTCTTCTTTTTATTACTACTATCAAAAAAAAGAAAAGTCCCTATATGATGACTTTCTGCAGTACTTTCATTTGCTAAGTATGCAGATCATTTTAAAAAAAAGTCTCAAATCTTTAAGCCAGTCACTCCAGTAAGATGCATCTTTCCACTTAATAAAAGCGAAGAGGTCAAGTAATAACTTTCATCACTTTGTTTTCTTTATGTTTATTCCATTAGGCTTATACTGTTACTAGGAAACCAGCTCATCCTAAGATTTCCCAGCCCACAGAACAACTTCCTAGCCAACCTAGCGGATCCCAAACTTTGTAACCAGGGCAATTCGCTACCACACAACCTAGCTGGTTAGCTGGCACCACGCAGGTGCACCCTACCTGGCCTTCCCCACGCCCCATTTCCCTTACAGGTACGGTACAACCCATCTCCCCAACGCAGCAGACACCGCGGTGGAAGGCAAGCGCTGGCAGCACAGCCAGTGCGTCGGTCTGAAACCCTCCCAACCAAGTATTCTGGAAGGGGGTAGGGGGCTGTCTCAGGTGGAGGTGAACGCCAGCCCACCACGGGTCACGCCCCGTCCCGCACACGCGTCCGGGAGGAAGGTGGCCTGTGTGCGTGCGTGTGCACGGCTGACGCGGGACAAAGCGGAGAGCTGGAACCCGTGAGGGGCCGCTGAGTCACGTCCTGCGGCGGCCAAGACTTCACCCTCCAGGAAACCAGGCTGCGCCCCGGCTCTCACCAGGGAAGCGAGCGAGAGCGGCGGCGGCAACGTCATCCGACCAAAATCAACACCGGGCGCTGCTCTCCCCGCAGCTGCTGCTCCTTAAAGGGGAGCCAAAAATAGGGCTCGTGGCCGAGGCGGGCGACGCGCACACGTGGAGGAAACAGCTTTCCTGTGGGGTGCAGGGCGCCTCGCCACCGGGCAGCGTCCCCGGCGCCTGCCTTAACCCCGAAAGGCCACTTTCGGGGCCACGCGTGTTCCGGATCGCTACGGGCTAACGTGGCTTCCTAGGGGGCGGCCGCCGCAGAGCGAGTGCCCGGCCGTGCAAGGGGCAAACGAAAACCCGGCGCGTCCGGGGACGCCGCGGCGGGGATCAAAGTCTCGGGTGCGGTGGGCGCGGCGGTGACACAACGGTCACGTGGACTTGTGCGTAGACGACCGTGGAAAGCACTCGCGTCGGCGACGTGCAGGTGCCTCTTCCTGCCGGGCGTGCGCCCCCCGGGCTCCCGGACTCCCGGGCTCCCGGGCCGGCCGCCGCCGCCGCTGAGGGCTGCGCAGACCCCCGCCCGCCCCGCGCGGCCCCGACCCCAGCCCCAGGCCCGGAAGGCGAGCGTCCATTTACCTGCTCCCCGCTCCCGCTCGCCGCCGCCGCCGCCGCGCCGCTCACCACCCCCCGCGGCAGGTGAGCCACCCCCAGCACACGCACACCTCCCCGAGGCGCCACGCCCGGCGCGACCCCAGCCCCTCAGGGCACACCGCGGCCCCAGCCACCCCAGCGGGGGCAGCCCTCACACCTCCCGGCGTCCGACACCTCTGCCCCCGGAAGTTGATTTCCGCCAAGGCCCGCCCCCCAACCCTGCGCCCGTCACTCAACGCGAACGCGCGCGTCACGTGGGCCCCGGCTGAGGCCTGAGCCGGGGCCGCAGGTTCGCAACCTCGCCAGCCCGGGCGCGGATGGTGTTCAGAGGGCTGCCCCGTTGGGGTCTGTCCGGGAGGCTCGCACGGCCCGACCCCTTCTCAGGGACTTCTCCTGTGGATTAACAGCACGTCCTTGCCTACCTCAGCGTGAGAATGCAGTCATGTCCCCAATGAAAACGACGCTCCCGTCTGGGTCTCTGAGGGGCTGGCCCTGACCAGAGCCCACCGGACCTCTGCAGCCACTTCGAAGCAGAGTTCAATAAAATGTGCAGTTGAGCAGAGTGCGTGACGTGTTGTACGTGGACAGCGGCTGCCTGGACTTCGTGTTGCTGGCTGTCCAGGGCGAGACGGCCCGGACACTCCTCGGACTTCAAGAACTCAGCGCTTGACCTGTCCTTTGTGTCCTGAGCTTGGGTGCCACAGAGTTTATTTTCGGCTCTCAAAGCCACCCCGTTTTTTCGGAGCTTTTAATCAAATAGCTTCGCCCGCACAAATAAAGAATGGCAAAATTGTCAGGTTTTTATCTGAAACGTGGAATGGCTATGAGGCTATTTTGGTCCAGTTCAATAGCGAATTAACAGGCCACTTGCATTTTGACCATAGGAGGAAGTTGCAAAATGTTCATTCAACAAGTCGGTAGTGAGTCTGTCCCGGATGTTGTGACAATCCGATAGTGCTAAGACGTCCTCAAGATCTTTGCCTTCAAGGAGCTTACCATCTAATCAGAAAGTCAAGAAACCTGGGTGCTGGGAGCATACAGCTCTGGGATATTCGTAGTCACTGTGTGGCAGGCACTCTAACATCCTGAACATGGTTTTTATCTTCTTTCACTGGAGCAAAATTGGCTCAGACACGCACACTCTGCAGTGGCGGAGGAGCTCTGTGTACTGACACGCCTCTGCTAAGCAGAGAACTGGGTGCGTAGCGAACAGTTTCAGTCCTGAGCAGCTCACTTCTGTATCCTGGATCTTGCCTGCCTCCTTCCTGGTGCGCGCCACACACCTCTTTCCATCGTAGGAACCGCGATGCTTTCTTGCATGTAGCTGTAGACCACCAAGTCAAGGACAACCTCTGCTTTGTACATCCTGCAATCCAATACATCCCCAGAAATCTAGCGCAGTGTCTGGTGATGAGAACAAAGAGGCAATTAATAAATATTTTTTGAGCTGAGTACAGTTCCTTTGATATCATTGTGTCTGTCATATCTCTTTTGCTGGAAACTTCAGGTTAGTTTCTGGAAATTCCATAGCTTTATCTACATGCTCCGTATGTCCCACCTAATGCAGTGTTCAATATTAAACAGATCTATAGTAGTAATAATAATAATATTATATATTATTATATAGCAATTCACTTTTTTTTTTTTTTACAGGCAGAGTGGACAGTGAGAGAGAGAGAAAGGTCTTCCTTTGCCGTTGGTTCACCCTCCAATGGCCGCTGCGGCCGGTGCGCTGCGGCCGGCGCACCACGCTGATCCGATGGCAGGAGCCAGGTGCTTCTCCTGGTCTCCCATGGGGTGCAGGGCCCAAGCACTTGGGCCATCCTCCACTGCACTCCCTGGCCACAGCAGAGAGCTGGCCTGGAAGAGGGGCAACCAGGACAGAATCCGGCGCCCCGACCGGGACTAGAACCCAGTGTGCCAGCGCCGCAAGGCGGAGGATTAGCCTAGTGAGCCGCGTTGCCGGCCCAGCAATTCACTTTTATTGAGCATTTTCTAAGTGCCTGGCATTAAGCTATGTACTCACTTTTTTGACAATGATACATACTTCAGGAGGATAAGTTGCCCGAGTAACAGAGTGGAACTTAAAGCTGGATGTGTCTATGAGAATAGCAAGGGAGGGATTTCATCCTGCTGGGCTCACAGTTTATTGTGAAAACAAGTTGCCTATCTCACCCTTGTGGATAGCTTTTTGGTTTATCCTGAGCAAGCCAGATAGGGTAAAGGATTGTAAACCAGGTCTTTTGTTGGGTTTGTCCCCCACCTTATTGATTGAGTTTGTTCCTCAAAACTGTACTTAAAACCACAGTGCCAGTGGGTGCTCTGGGATTTTCCTCTCTTGGAAGCCCCCCTCCATGTCATGCTGGCTGAAAGTCCTTGACTTGAATAAATCTTTTTAAATCTAAAAAAATAAAAAATAAAAAACGCTAGATGTGTCTAACAGAAGGGCTTCATGCTTAGTCACTACAGCCCACTACCTGATTTTCATGTCATTCACTTATCACTGATCCAAACCTACCACTTTCATTAAATCTTTTTCCTAGCCCCACATTAATCTGTGCTTTTTAAATTTACACTTCATTTTAGGATATTCATACAGCTGTACAGCCATCATCACAGTAATTTTCAAATATTTTCATAGGCTCACAAAGAAATCCCACCCCTTGGGCAGTTACTTCCCACACCACCCCTCTCCCGACCCCCCCACCCCTCCTCACCCCACCTCCCTACTCACCCCAGCTCCAGGCATCCACTAATCGACTTTCTGTCCATACACATTCTTCTACCCTGGAAATTTCATGTACCTGGAACCAGGCTTTAAACGATCTTATGTAATTGGCTTCTTTCACTTAAAATAATTTTTTAAAGTTCAGGTATCCATTCACAGGTTGGATTGCTTCCACTCTTTGGATATTGTGAGTAATGCTCCTGTGGACACTCACGTGCAGCTTACTATGTCAACACACGGTTTCATTTCTCTTTGGCAAATACCTAAGAGTGGAATTGCTGAATTGTACTGTGACTCAATGCTTAACCTTTTGAACAACTTCCAGACTGTTTTCCAAACTGGTTGTACCATTTCGCATTCCTACCAGCAACATGTGAGGGCCCTAATTGCTCAACTGCACCTTTTCTTGTCTCTTCTACAGCATGTGCCTCCATTACTCTTCAGGGTGCTTTTTATAAGCCATCTTCCATTGTTGGCTACCTATGTTGTGGATGTATCTACAGAACGATCATGCTAACAGTGTTGGTTGTGTCCTCCTGAGATGAGAAACATGGCACCTATCCTCAAGAGGATCAAATCTGCACAGAGATAATCAAGTCACAAAGTACAGCAAAAATAAGCACAGAAATCATGTTTATTGCTAAAATGTGGAGGAGGAGCCCCTCACTCAATCTGGTTTAAATAGCAAGTACTTCTCATAAAGTATAAAACTCAGGTGGAGCCTTGAACAATCAGTGGGAATTTGCCAGCCCAAGGAGAGATGAATATGCTCCAGAAAAAAAGAATATAAAATTTGCATGTATTTCCTTGGCTATGAACTATGGGGGTGAACATGTTCTGCAGATAAGTAGAGAGGAAGCAAACAAGGGGGTGTATGGGATGATGAAGAGTTTGGCAAACTTCGCCAAGGGATTTCAATTCTGTCCTGCCGTATTATTCAAGCAAGCCCGGGGGAAATTGCTTCACAGCAGTAGACAGATGGATTATTGGGTAGGGGATAGGTGGCTAAGACTGGGGGGGAAAGCAGAGAAGACTGGAAAAAAGCAGTTGGAAGATATGAAATGATTAGAATGAGGACTTATGAAGATATGAGCCACGATGGTAGCCATGAAGTTGGCAAGGCTGATTTGGAAGGCATTTGAACAGCAATAAAGAGGAAAGGACTGAAGACGTATTCCAGGTTTCTGGTACTATGCAAAGAAGAGTGGGATTCAAGAGGGAGACGGTCCACTTGGTGATAATAACAATGAAACACTCCAAGGGTGGTGTCTTAGTCCATCTGCAATATCATGAATACTGCACAGCTCATAAACAACAGAAATTTATTTCTCACAGCTCTGGGCACTGGGAAGTTCAAGAGCAAGGTGCCAGCAGGCTCAGCCTCTGCTGAGGGCCTGATTTCTGGTTCCTAAATCATTATTTCCTTACATGGTGGAAGAGAAAAGGCAGTGATACAGGGTGTCTTCTGTAGGGACAACAGTCCCACTCTTGAGAGCTATGCCTCATGACTTAACCACCTCTCAAGGCCTTACCACCTCACACAATCACAGTGGTGATTAAGCTTCAACATAGGGATTTTGGAAAAATGCAAAGATTTAGATAATAGCATGTGGGTTGTACTAATCGCAACTTTTTGTATGAATTATTGTAATAGTTATTGCTTTTATTTGCTAATTATTGATGTATTTACTGTTGCTACCACCTATAGCAATGTGGTGTTCCCCCAAACTTCAGTTCATATTGAAAATTATATGACACCAAATATACACCAAGAGAGTATAAGAGGGTGTAAATTTCTCATACTGAGGCTCCTTAGGAAGAACAGGTGGGCTTCCCAGGTAGCTCTAAAAATGCTTTAAAAAGTAGGACAAAGATTCTTTGGGTTGATGGATGCAGAGAGGGGCTGGAGACAAGGGCAGGATTTAGAGTGAAAATTCCCAGATGAGTGCAAGGCTTATGTGGCTTGAATTTCCCAGAAGCACCAAAATATGCAATATCCAAACTTTCTTATAAGCTTGCACAGAGGTGGGGTAGGAAGGAAAAAGTAAAGGTTAGGGCATGGAAGCTGTGGCACTCAAATATCAAAAATGGAGTCCAACTCCTTGTTACATATGCTCAGATCCAGTTTTTTGTTTCCATTCCAACTAACGAAGCAATACAGTTGTATATTTACACACTTTGAAAATGATTGTAGTACACAATGAACGTTTATTTCATTCTTTCTACATTGTGCAGCACACACCTGAGAAGTGTGGGTGGAATTAACCTCACCCTTATCTCTGAAGCTAGTCAAATCAAGAGAATCTATTCCTTCCTTAAATAGTGTCTCACTGGCTGCCAGAAATTGTTTAAAATTGAGCAAATCAACATCAAAGACCTTTTGATGATGGGTCTTTTTCTCCCTGGATGTCAGGAAGAAAAGCTGTGGTCCTTGTTGCTGAGAGCAAACATCTTGTGA